AATTGAATTTTCTTGGGGCGCCTGGGTGGCTCAGTCGGTTAAGCGTCCGACTTCAGCCAGGTCACGATCTCGCGGTCCGTGAGTTCGAGCCCCGCATCGGGCTCTGGGCTGGTGGCTCAGAGCCTGGAGCCTGTTTCCGATTCTGTGTCTCCCTCTCTCTCTGCCCCTCCCCCGTTCATGCTCTGTCTCTCTCTGTCCCAAAAATAAATAAATAAAAACGTTGAAAAAAAAATTCAAAATTGAATTTTCTTAATTTTATTAACTAATACATTTATTACTTTACATTACTAAATACATTTATTTACTTTTTTAATTTTAGAGAAAGGGTGTGAGCAGGGGAGAGAGGCAGAGGGAGAGAGAGAGAGAGAGAATCTTAAGGAAGCTTGATGCTCAGTGCAGAGCCTGAGGTGGGGCTCGATCCCACGACCCTGGGATCATGACCTGAGCTGAAATCAAGAGTTGGACACTCAACCACCTGAGCCACCCAGGTGCCCCTGTATCTACCACTTTAAAAAGATAATGGAGCACATTATCCAAATTATGACAAATATATCACTCTCTGTTTTTTTTTTTTTAATTAGAATTAAGAGGTTGCAGTAATAAACATTGTCCCCATGGAAAGTTCATACAATTTTTTGCCCAGAAGTTGCCAGTGTTCTTGAAGTTAACTGGTGTACTTGTCCCCTAGGGCAGCCACAACAAAATACCATAGACTGGGTGGCTTAAGCAACATAAATTTATTACTCACAGTTCTGGAGGCTAGAAGTCAAATGTCAAGGTGTCAGCAGGTTTGGCTTCTCCTGAGGGCTCTCTCCTTAGCTTGCAGATGACTGTCTTGTTCTGCTCTCACATAGCCATTCTCCACATCCCTAATATCTCTCTGTGTGTCCCAGTCTCCTCTGCCTATCAGACCACCAGTCAAATTGATTAGGTCCTATCCTAATGGCTTTAACTTAATCACCTCTTTAAAACCCTATCTCCAAATACTGTCACATTTTGAGACACGAGGGTTAGGACTTCAACACATGAAGTATGAGGTAGTGAGGGAGGGACAAAATTCAGCCCATAATAACTGGGAAAGAAGGCAGGGGGTTCTCAGTAGTCACTCGATAGCCCAGATTTCAGAATGTGTCTCTACACAGTTCTGTGCGCTGTCCACAGAAGCAGATATGCTATTCACGTTTTCCAGAAGCTAAACCTTCAGTTTTCTGCTGCTTTGGCTTCACTGCTTAGTGTGGAAGAAAATCTGAACATTTCTCCTTAACTCCATTTTAATTTCTTCTTAAGCATTTTTTTTTATCGATCCCCCTATTTTTAATCCCAGTTTCATTGCCATTTCCAAAGTTAACAGGTGCTATCAACTTTTGCATGTTTGGGTTGTTACATGGTATTTAATTGGTTGCTTCTTGGTTTACTCTCCTGCTGGCCGGATCAGATTTCCAAAGCTTCTTGAGTCAAGACCATTTTGGCCACCTGCTTTTTAGCTTTGGAAACTTTATGAGCCTTAAGTCCTCTCCCATTTTTTTTGTCTTTGATTATTTGTTCATTTTGTAAAAATCCTTTCCCTGGCTGACACTGAAGTGACATTTCTAGAGGGAATCAATATTTGTGTTCAGCCTGCCATCTTACATCAGAGCTTACATTATAAAATTTGTGAGAATCTTTTACTGAAATGGAGGTTATTCATAGCATTCAGATTTATTATACAATATATATTTGTAAGATTACGGCTACATTTGCTATTCAATGCATATTGTAAAGTTTGCCTCACAATGAAGACAGGGTGGTTTTTCCATTCTCTTCTGTAGTTATTTTTCTTGCTTATTTTCTGTGGTTGTTAAAATTCAGTTCTAAGTGAAGAAGCCAGCATGCATTCAACTGTCAAGGAATTGGTTGCCATCTAGCACAACTTTCTATTTAATTGTATGGTATACTAATTACAGAGTAATTTAATTGTATTTTATGATATTGATAAATAAAGTTGCTCTCAGAGAAAGTTTTAAAAACAAGATTAAATGGATAGTTTTCCATCTGAAACTGTATTAATATTTAATAAGTGCTTATTGAGAATATTAATAAGGGGGCTAAAAACTTTTTATACTTTTAAAATATTTACTTGTGTTTTACAAATTATTTTCACAGTTGGAAGTGTCAAAATTCAAAAAAAATCAGTACCTAACTGAAGGAGCAGTCAGTATATTTTGTTCACAGTTGTATTATATAGTCTGTTTGTCCCAATCAGGGATATATGTATATGAATGATTTGGTGATCTAATTCTGGAGTTTGCTTGGATTTCTCCTGAAGTGTTTCCTGAGATTATTTTCAGAGGTAAATATTTGAGGTCATGATTCCAGACCAGAAATAACACACAGCATGATAGTACATATTTAAATCAATAAACTGCATGAATTGTGGCATTGATTTCCAGGATATAGCTTGGTCTTAACTCAAAGCTGTCTTCCTTGCAAGATGCATAATTTAATTTTGAAATTTCACATGGTTAGCCTGAAAACTACCAGCTGTGAAAGCATAAAAATTATGTGTTTCAATAAAGCAAATCAAACTTTTTCAAACTGCCATGGCAACTTAATTCTAAAAAGATGATTCATTTTGGCTAAGAAAATTAAAACTATTTCAATTATTATTAAATAATTAAATAATATAATCTAATGCATGATAATATATACAAGTTACAATATAATTATAACAATTATAGATATACCTGCGTATAAGTCATATGTTATATATAGAAAGAAATAGAGAGAGAGAGAGAGGCAAAGAGAAGAAAGACATTAGTGAAAAGCCTGTCTTGCTGTGTGCCCGGAAGCCAGGTAAATTGAGGGAATGGTAGAGAAGAAGGAAGGGGTAATACAGACACTCTCTTAAGTTACTAGCAAAGCTAATATTTTGGAAAAACCCTGCTGTGAAAACAATGCCTGGAACATGCTGTTATTATAGATACAGAGATATTAATGTGATGAAAGCCAAGAAATTGTGATCTTGTTTGGAAAATCACATTGAATACTGCATATTATTGTCAAGAAGGAAAAAATACCACATGTATTTTTTTCTTTTTGAGTTCTAAAAAACTATTTTGCTAATCCCAATTAAAGAATCATAATGTAAAGTTCCAGTTTTTATTTTTAAGCTATTTGTATTTTCTAATACCATATTCAGGATGAGAGAATTTGGATACATCTGCTCCCTTTTTCTTTCTTTCTTTTTTTTTTTTTTTTTTTTTTTTTGGGCCAAAAATATGGCTCCAGGATTTTTAAATAAGAATTTCCACATGAAGATGAGAATGTTAATAACATGCTGGAACAATTTTGTTCACTTTCTTCTTCCATCCAGATTGATTCAAGGAAATAGGCATTAGAACTTTAAAAATCATGCTCACATTTAGGTGATTATTTATTGAATACTGGGCAAGGTCTGTCTAGGGACAAGGACAACTTTGGCTCTAGCAGTGACTTCTGAAAAGCATCCAGGAAAATGTTCAGAAATAAATAAATGGTGCGTTATAAAATTCTCCAAGATGGCTCAGTACATATGTTATATAACTATGTATTTTCACACCAACATTCCTGTGGTCGCACGAATGGCAGAACATTGTGGGGATAAAGCTTGATGTGTGCTGAGACTGACATTTCTATCACAAGGGTAATTTTCTGTGCCAGACATTTAAATTTCCATAAAATTAGGCCATTTGATGAGCTCTTCAAAACCACTTCTGGGTCCAAAATGGAGTGTCCTTTAATTAGATAAACAGATAGTGTTTTCATTTTTACATAAACTTAAATCCTATTTATAGACAGCATCCATAATTTGAAAATCGGTGAGTAACAGGCATGAGCTATTTGTGAGTGGGCACATTTTCACATCTTATTTATACTGTATGTTCCCCAATGTTTTACTTGCGAGCTCAGAACAAATGAAACCATCAGGCAGTGTCCCGTACTTGTCATGATTTCTTTTCCAAGCCACTCATTGATAGGAGCTCTTCTACTAAGCCATATATACATGCCAAATTAAAGAAAAAAGTTAATCATCTTGCACGCATCGTCTTTTAGCCAACATTCTTCACTGGATGTATTCATGCCTTGACGCATATTTGGAGAATTTGGAAAATGAGTCCCTGAACTGATTTCCATTCTTTGGTAGTCTTTGCTTCTACACTGTCAAGGTGGGCAAATGGGTGAGTAAAACAACACTTTGGTGGCAGAAAATAAGTAGAATAAATTGGATTTCAAAGAAATAGAATAGCACATTAATGAGTGTCAGATTATGGAAGTCTAAAAAAATTATCGATGACTATTTTTTGAAGATTGTGTGAATATTGCAAAAAGAAGCCAGAAGTCTTATTTATATCTATGCTATTGGTAATGCTCATGTTTATTATGAAAATGTTTAAACATTGACCTTTTCTTGGATTCTATCAGTCTCTCATTCTTGAAAAGCAGTTGATGTGGTGTAGCACGCATGAGAATGAAGAGATTTAAAAACCAAAATTAAAAATCAGAGTGACTTTTTTTTTAATTTTGATGTTTATTTATATTTGAGAGAGGGAGGCAGAGTGCGAGCAGAGGGGCAGAGAACAAGGGAACACAGAATCCAAAGTCGGCTCCAGGCTCTGAACTGTCAGCACAAAGCCCGAAGCGGGGCTTGAACTCACGAACCGTGAGATCATGACCTGATCCAAAGTCAGATGCTTAACCGACTGAGCCACCCAGGCACTCCACAGTGACTTTTTAATATAGACTCTATAGGGCCCAGCTTGTGTGTCTGAGGCCATTCAAAAGGCAACGTATATTTAAAAAAAAAAAAAAAAAAAAAAAAAAAAAAAAAAAAAGGCAATGCATAATTATACCCAGGAAAAGAGAAAAGAGAAGTTACATTGGGAAGGGGAGAAATAGGCTAAGAAACAAGGTTTCAAAATTAAGACAGTTTTAGAAAATGTACATGTCTCTTTTTAATGTTTGTTTTTGTACCTAAGGGGAAGAAAAATGGAAAGCTGTGAGGAAGTAAGGTCATCACGAGGAGAAAGTCACCGAAGTGCCTCGGCTTCCCTGGATTCTAGATGCTACAGCAGTGGAGGAAAAAAAAGTCCTCCAAAGCTAGGACTCGGGACTCTCTTCCTTATGCTTCCTGCCTAACTGGGGTCGAGGATCTGGGGCCACCCAGACACAGTAAGACTGTGAGTGGGAAGTGCTTTGAGTTCTTTAGAGAGCTATGTTTTATAAATACTGTTATTATTCAAGCTATTACGAAAGCCGAGCCCTGGTTTTCACTGATGTGTTGCTGGAGGCAGTGGGTGGGCAGCAACCCACTCTACTGTCCTACCAGAGGCGCTTAACCTCCTCCTTACTTCCCTCCAAGCAGGGCGTCTCACTTCTGTTGTTTTTAGTTCCCTTGCTTCCTCAGGGAGCTCACCCTCCCTCTTCTCACAGAAGGTCAATCCCCAGAGAGGGAGCCAATCAGGCAGGAAATCTCAGAAGAACAAATCACAGTAGCAATGTTAGTAAAAATAGCTGGATTTAGCCCATGATCACTTTTTTTAAAGAGAGTTTGCCTGGTGCACGTATTCATTACTGTACGTCTCTCCCCTACGCTGCAGGAGCCCAAAGGTGTCAGCTTGCAAGGAGTTTAAATCTTCCTCGGGCATCCTTACAGTTCCTGCAGCTACCTTCTAACCACCTGCCGCGGGCAATGGATGAGCCCTGATCAATTGTAGCCCATCTCCATTTATTCACGTACGTTTTGGCACGTGTGCAATTCCTGTATACCTAAGGCAGTCCATCTTATAGAAACATTTTTGGAGTCTTTTGGGTTTTTTGTCTCTTTTAAAATAAGTGTTTGAAATTACAGTTATGGATGTCCACAATTTAACGTCCTCCCATACATATTTTAACTGTAGCTTGTACCTAGGAAGTTCCGAATCATAGCGGAAGCATATATGGGCATTGAAAAAAATTATGCCGGTAGGGTTGGTTTCCATTAGAATATCTGGAAGGAGAAATTCTCAACCAAAGATTCAAGATTGATGTTGAACTCAGCCATATTTGTCACACTGCAGTTTTTAGAATTGGATTTTTCTAGGGGCGCCTGGGTGGTTCAGTCGGTTGAGCTTCTGACTTCAGCTCAGGTCATGATCTCACGGTCTGAGTTCGAGCCCTGCATCGGGCTCCGTGCTGACAGCTCAGAGCCTGGAGCCTGCTTCAGATCCTGTGTCTCCTTCTCTCTCTGACCCTCCCTCGCTCATGCTCTGTATCTCTCTGTCTCAAAAATAAAATAAAACATTAAAAAAAACCAATTTAAGTAGAATTGGATTTTTCCAGACACTCTTGAGATCATTATTTCAAACAGCACCCAAAAATGCATGGAATTAGTCTCCTCATTGTGAGTTAAGTAACATAGTACAAAATTGTTCATAGAATCGTATTTATATAATGAGCGCTTAGGTGCATGAGAAGACACGTTTTGGAGGTCATCTGCCCTAGCCTTCTCCGTCACAGATGGAGGAACTGATGGCCAAAAAAGGTTCAGTCTCTTCTGAATGACACTCAGTTTGTGGCAGAGCATGGACCAAAGTCAGGGTTTTCTGAGTGAATTCTGTTCACTATGCCTTCCATTGATACTCTATTAGTTGTATCACTTTTGAGAACCAGGAGAAAAATTTCTAAATGAAAATGCAAATGTTGGTGTTAAATTAAAACAGCTAACTAAGTTAAATGTAAAGATACGGGAACTCTATAGTTCGTCTACGGTTATAGGGTAATATATTTTTATGACAACACATATAAGATGATTGGACTAATTTGAAAATACATAAAAAAAACCAGAAAAAATAAATACAGAAAAAATATACATAAATAAAATCACCTCCCAGAGCAAACAACTAGCATTTTGATGTAGTTCTTTCTAGTTTTCTCTTGCATTCTTTTCCCATAAGTACGTGTGAAGATGTTTATTCATCTATACATGTGCAAACCTATAAATAACAGACAATACTGGAAAACAATTTTATATATTCATTCTTTCCTTTAGCTTTGGTCATAAACATTTTTCCATGGCTTTCTGCAGTTTAAAAATATTTTAACATAATATATACATTATGTCTCATTTGGCCAAAATTTCAAACCACCTCCCTCAAGGTATTCTGTATTTTATATATATATAAAAATAAATATTTTTGTCTGCTTTTCTGATTTGTTTTTCTTTTTCCAGCGGGGAAATAGCACCTCATAGGGAAAAATACCACAGACCCTAAAGAGAAATTAATTTGTATTTACAAAGAAGTCTAAAACCTTCCAATGCACATTTGTTTTCTATTTTGATTTCTGTGGTGGTTTCTACCCAAGTCTTCAAATCAGAATGGAACCCAAGACAGAATGATTATTCTTCTTCTCTTATGAGGAGACAGAAATGGCTATAATGGGACTCTTATGGCTGATAGGATGATGGGATAAACATCTTGTAGTATCAAATCAACAAAAAAGAATTGGCTGTGGAATCTGGAAGAATAGCTAGCTCAGTGCACTAATAAACCAGGGAAAGAAAAGAAATTTTGAGACAGATTTGAAATCTGCTTATGCAAACTGAAAAAAAACTGTATTTATGGTGTCAACAAAAGTGTCATTGCCTCTACAATACGCCAAACATGGGATTAGGTGGCAGGAACAAACATGTACATAAGACATGATTCCACTTCTCAAATGGCTCGCATCCTGATATGACACACCTAACATATACACCAGTGACTACTCTAACATTCCAGTCCAATAATGATATTTGGAATGACAAAGGAATGGAATGATGCAAAGTGGTGTGGAAAGGCAGAGGAACGGTCAATTCAATTAATGATCAATTAACTTTGACCCACACAAAAGACTTCTAAGAAAGAGTCTTAAATTACTACCTTATTGGTAAGAGATAGGATGTTCCACAATGAAACTCTTACGAATAGATAATAGGTCGTGTGCTGGAGGAAAAACAGAAGAGTCATTCAGTCATTTCTTCCACAAAAAAATGTATAGAATACATGTCATATGTCAGGCACTATTCCAGACATTACTAACAGAGCTGTGAACCAGACAATGAAAGCCCTGGCCTTCTGGAGTGAGAGAGAAAGTCTGGAGTCTGGAACTCAAGGTTAACTTTTGATCTAGATGTATAACTTTGAGAGTGACACCTCAGCACAAAGATTACATTTAAATGCTTAAATGTAAATTTAAGCATTAATGTAAATTTTAAGCATTAATGCTTAAATGCTTAAATGTACATTTTTACTTAAAACCACAGCACTAGGTAAGATCATCTAGAAAGTGAGGGAAAGCAGAAGGAGAAAAGGGAGAAAACGTGAACCTCAGAGATGTAAAAGTTAGGAAGAAAAGACAAAGGTGTAGAGACTGAGAAGAAACGGTCAGTGAATAACTTCAGAAAATGTCCGGGAAAACCATGACCATGAGGAATCCCAGAAGACAGATGAAGAAGTGTTTCAAGAAAGAGGGAGAGACCGATGGAGTCAAATGTGAGTTTATCAACTGAGACAAGGGCAGAGAATTTACCATTGGATTTAGCAATGATGAAGTCATTAGTGACCTAAAGATTTATTTTGGTGGGCTTTATATATATATATAATTTTAAATAAAATCACTTTCCAGAGGGATCTTATTCTCTAAACAAGGCAGAAATTGTAGAGCATCAAATGATATTGAAAATTTAGAGTGTTTAATATGGGATTTGATAAAATTGCTGTCATTGAAGACATTGACAAGGGGATTTTCACTAGAGTGTTGAGAAAGAAAGCTTGATTAGTTTAAGACAAAATAGGAGGTGAGGCCCTAAAGACAATAAAGAGAATGGAAAATAATTTCATGGATTCTCCTACAGGGGAGAAGAGAGTGCAAAGATTCAAAAAGATAAGACAGAGGGTCCCCAGTTTCCCTGGTTTCAACCATTGCTTCTGTTTTCTGGTGTTGTTGTTTTTTTTTTCCCTTTCCTCCATTTTGTTAAACCTCTCACCCCCGAACCTTGTCTAACCAACAAACCACAGGCTTACTGAACAGCTCTTGAAAAAAAACTGTTCTGACAGTTATTGGGATGTCATTGTGCCAACCACACCAGCTAGTAGGAATGACAAACTGGAACAATCTTCCACTGTCCCAACAGCAAGTTTTACAGGTGTTGGAGATGAAAGCTGCTACCTGAGCCAAACCACATGTCCCCCTCTCTTATCCTTTCCCTACAAAATCCTGCTTTGGCTCTGAGTAACCTGGTCATGCAACCTGATGTGCAGCAGGTGTGTCTTTAACCTTTACTTGAGTTTCTTAAACTAGTTTTTCCCTTGGCAATAGAAATGTGGCAGTAACTGAAGAGAAATCGGCCCTCCAGAGAGGCATGTGTAAATAAAAGCCATTCCTGCTTGTTTCTATTGAAAACAACCCCTACTCTACAGAGGGAAAGACTCATGATGTGTTTGTAACAGGAGTGGATAATTGCAGGAGAAATGATTGTGTGCCCAAGAACACATGGGATCCAGTAGAAAGGTGAAAAGTAGAAAGGAGCAAGGACTTAGGAAAGGAGAGAACACCAATGCAGACCATAAGAGGATGTGGTCATGGGAAGATAAGGGAATTCTCTTCTGATGTCTTCTAGTTGCTGAGTGAAACCAGAAAAGTCACCGCATAAGAACAAGGAGAGAGGAGGGGAGTGTTGGCAGAGGAGGCCAAAGGGGGGAAGAGAAGGTAAGAAATGGTGTATGTGTATCATTAATACATGATTTATTGGATTGTGATCCTGGAACGAGGGCTTGTAAATTGCCAGGGCAATGTGATGAAATTGAAAGGCAATGCTAGGATTCCATTTGAGATGGTGTGCTGGGGGAACATAATTTAGATTCAGATAGCAAATGGCATTAAAAGAAGCATTTAAATGTTATTTTCTAACCAATGAGGACATATGATTTTTAAACAAGTGCCCACAAGATCAATAAGCCTTATGATAATTTTTGACAATAATTTATTCTTAAACATATTTATATAATCTACTCTGTAAAATATTAATGATAATTACTGTGAGGGTAAAAAAATAAATGATTTGTATAAATGCATACTTAATGATTGCTTTTAAAATTTGGCTCTATAGTAATTTACAAGCCAAATAAACTGCTTTTAATGTTTTAACTGTATATTGTTTTCTCATATATTCCCTTACATGCTATTTGCAAGTAGGAGTATTTGGAAACAAATTAAACCCTATATTTCTCATGAAGTGTGTTTCAAAGCACGATGCGTTCTGACTACAAAAATAACACATGCCAATTATTGATAATTTGAGAAGTAAAAAAAATTGCAATGAAGAAACGTAAAAATTACCGGTAATTCTAAACACAGGTATAATAATGTAAAATTACAGCGTATTTTATTATATACATATATCACCATTTACTTCATTGGTTATAGAAGTTATTTACAGGTGCAAACCGTATTTATAAAGGACTTTTTTAATAAAAATTGAAGGAGTGGGAAGGAAGGCTGTATAATTGCGATCCAAGAGCAGATACTTTTGAAAACTACAGCAAATTAGACAAATAAAGGATGTCAAATTATGCCACCAGTATCCCAAGATGTACATTTTATCATGGCCTTCTAGAATGCAGCTCATCTCTCTACCTTCCCCCACATTAAGACTCCCACATGAGCTGGACCCAAATCAGGAATAAGCCTTGATTCGCTCTGAATCAGAGCAAAACATGTATTATATTACTTTGGGAAACCTCAGATCATATAAAACCAGGTCAGGTTAACCATATGGCCGTGTTTTTTAAGCTCGCTGCAAGTCCTTTTTATCAATGCAGTTTATTATCGTGGCAGGGGAAGGTTTTCTGAGTCAGAAAATGTGCATTGAACTAGGCCAGAGTTTGGATATTTTGCAAAAATATTTTTAAATTAAAGCATTATATACAAAATGAAGCAAAGTGGTTTAAAATAACAGTTGAAACTACCTTCTCTCTTTAAAAAGAGTAATCACTGAACCCACAGGATTTGAAGAAAAAGAGACATAAGGAAAAATAAATTCCCATCAAAATCACTTAGTCTCAAGGTAACTATGTCCATGTTTAAAATCTTAGGACAAAACAACACTGAAGTTTTCCTGTGTTTTTTGGCCTTACGATGAAATCTGATATACCAAGGCAATCTGTTTTGTTTGTGGATTTTTCCCCTCATTGGTCAAAATCACAAATTCATGAAGTACAGAGATAGTAAGATCAACATGTGCCTGGAAAAAAATGAGTTCAGAGAACGACTCATCGAAAAGTAAAATAAAGATTTCAAGTTAATTGCATCTTGCTTCATTATCACCCCGCTGAAGAAGTTGGTAGCCAAGAATGAAGATGATAAGCAATTGCTGGAAAATGGCAGAAAAAAACCAACATTTCCTTTCTCTTCTAGAGAGCATCCTCCTAGTTATAGTTGCTGGACCCATGCTCGGGCATTATCCCAGGGTTGACCTATTAGGAATGGGGCCAGTCTCCTGAAGACTATTAAACCCAGTGATCGGTCAGCCACAGAATGATAAAGTGACTTGTCAAAAGATGTGGGAATGTGAAGAAATCAAGCAATAGGGAGAGTTTTGGTTTTAGTAGACTCTAAAAGAATGTTGGGATTTTGGACTGAGTTTTAGCAGGAAGCCAGTAGAGTGATTTTTAGGAGCAGGGACTAGTCACAGGCAGCAAGGCCAGATCTAATTCCTTAAATAAACCAAGGAGATGAATTCAATCTACAGTTCTAGAGGGGTCATGTGACGGGGCAGGGGCTCCTACAGGCAAGATAGACAACTCAGAGAAAGAAAAGTTTAGATGGAGATTAAGTCTTGATAAAACTTAAGAAGTGAAGAGTCTATAGGTGGTTTTGTCTTATGATTCAGTAAGTTTAACAATAATTAAAAATTAACAAGAGTAGTACTTGGAAATTAAGAAATATTTGTGATAGCTCTTGAGTCAGAAAGGAAATCAAATGTGAAATTTTAAAGCATCTATAAATCAATTAAAAGAATAAATATAGGTTCATACTTCATGTTAAAAATTACAGAGAAAATAGTAACAGTCTTCAGCAGTAAAGAAAAACAGAAAAATGATACAAAAAAATTAAGACGAAAGAGTTGATAAAGATAAGAACTGAGGGGTACCTGGGTGGCTCAATCGGTTAAGGGTCTGACGTCGGCGAGGGTCATGATCTCATAATTTGTGAGTTCGAGCCCTGTGTGGGGCTCTGTGCTGACAGCTCAGAGCCTGGAGCCTGCCTTGGATTCTGTGTCTCCCTCTCTCTCTGCCCCTCCCCTGCTTGCATTCTGTCTCTGTCTCTGTCTCTGTCTCTCTCTCTCAAAAATAAGTAACAATTAAAAAAAATTAAAGATAGGACCTGAAAGAAACAGAAAATGAGCAAGTCAATTAAACATTGATTTTTGAATATTTGAATTAAATATATGAATTATATAAACCTCTTTAAAATCTGATTAAAGAAAATACAGGGATAGAAAAGTAGACAAGTGTGTAAATATTTTCTTAAAGGTGTAACACATATCCTAATGAAAGCAGTAGAACTAGGGGATCTCATTATCTGTAAATCTACTTGAAACTCTAAAGGAAATAGGTGATTTCAAGGCAAAACATAAATTATCCAAATTAACTCAAGAAGTGAAAGAACTGGAATATGTTAATTTCCATGAAAAACTTGGAAAGGTCATCAACATTCTAAACATGTAAAAGACCCCAGGACAAGATATGTTCACAATTGAACTTCGTTTAACTGTTAAATAAAAAATCATTCCAAAGGTATTAAAACTTCCAGTCAAAAGTGAATGGAAAGCTGTGCAATTCATTTTATAAAGCCAACATACATCAGATTAAAAACTTGTTAGAGTACCAAAAAAGTGCTATTTACCTACATCTCCTGTGAATACAGAAATAGAAACGTTTTTTTTTTTTTTTTAATTTCAAATAGAATCTTGCAAAGTATCTACAGATCATTGCAGTAAGATCAGGAAAGGCTAGTTCCAGAAATGTTACTGGGTGAAACAATAAGAAATTGATCAATATAATTTATTATATATGTATTCCAAACAAAACAGAAAAATATGATCATGTAAATAGAAGACATGAATCAAAATACATGAGTGTTATTCTCACTCATTCCTGCTTCCCAAACTGTCCCTCCCTTTGCTAAGGAAATGTCCTGCATTTACCTTTCTTGGGAAGGTAAAAGTTTCAAGTTAACAATGTATTACTACTTCAACTCATTTATCATCTAATTGGTTCCAACATTCTCCTAAACCAAGTTATTTATTTTTAACAGCATTAATTTAAATGTTTGTAATAGCACTAAGAATATTGAAGTTGTTAAAATGAAACACTTAGAGGCGAGCCTGGGTGGCTCGGTCGGTTAGGCATTCGAGTTCGGCTCAGGCCATCATCTCTCTGTTCATGGGTTCGAGCCCGTGTTCAACTCTGTGCTGACAGCTCAGAGCCTGGAGCCTGCTTCAGATTCTGTGTCTCCCTCTCTCTCTGGCCCTCTCCCTGCCCCCTCACGTTCTGAGAGAGAGAAGGAGACATAGAATCCCAAGCAGGCTCCAGGCTCTGAGCTGTCAGCACAGAGCCCGATTTGGGCATGAACCCACGGACCACGAGATCATGACCTGAGCCAAAGTCGGATGCTTAACCAACTGAGCCACCCAGGTGCCCCACATTAAAAAGATTTTCAAATGAAACACTTAGAATCGTCTTGAAAGGTTTAAAATAGATAGCATTATTATATATCATGTCATTTTGTCTTGTTTTTTTTCCTTGTGTCACTGTGTGATTTGTAGCCAAACATCATTTTCTTCTTTTTATAAACCAAGAAAACACACTTTTGATTACTTGAAATCTAAAATATGTTCTATGACAGAGTCTGCTCTTTTTAGGAAGGTTCCTAACTATTCACTGATTAAAATTTAGAAGATTCTTTTTTGAGAGAGAGAGAGAAATCGGTCCTAGTCTACCTTTTCTTGTGTTTGTAATGTATGTTTTTTGGCTTTGGGGTGAAGATCACTCCTTCATTTATCTTTTACAGCATCTGAAAGACTGATTTAAAAAAAAAAAAAACTTCTTTTCCTCCAGACTGTTCCATAAATGTGCTTTAAATCTGGAGTGAAATTGTGACGGACTTGGAAGTATTCTGTTTGTAATTTATTTCATTTGTACACTCTTTTTTTTACTTGTGAATTACAATATACAAAAGATTTTACACAGACACATGCATAAGAAACAGATATATAGTTTAAAGAAGATTTATAAAGCAAATGCCCATGAAAACACCACTTGAGAAATGGATATAGGGCTTAATCTCTCTTCAAAATAATCAAGTAGAAAAGAAATTTCTTCAAAGCATGCATTAACTATAGCAATGCTCTTTTATGAATTTCGGATTTTTTTGAAACCTGATATAGAATAAACACTTGAAAATATATCACATGTGCCTCAGAAAAACACGTTATGTTACAGAGTTTTATACATGTCTTTGAAGCAAACCTTATTAATTTTAGTAATTAAGAGCTTCTCTTCCCGCCCCCCCCTTCCCCCATCTTGCTCACTCCCACTGACTGTAATCTAAGTTTGTGAATGCTTTAGAATGAATGTTTGTAGATTTACAGGGTTAGGCAAAATTTTTTTGTTCAACAGACTATAATGATAGGTTGAAAACAAGCATGTGCTGAAAAGGCTGTGAGGTAATTTGCAAAGTATTTGCTGGACACTTTTCACATATAATATCACAGGGAAATTATGCGGAATGATCTGTTTCTCACATTTGACATTGGCTTCAGGACCTCAGTTGGTAGCATTTGTTAATGCCCCAGAATTCCATGACCAGCTGAGGAGGTTGCTGAGTATATAACAGATCTGGGGTAGAACAGGGCACATGCACTGTATTTAGTTCAGCCACAAACCTGTAAAACTTGCCTTGCTTTGCACTGTTAAGGCTATCAGATTCTTTATCCTACTGGTGATTAACATGAAAACTGCTTTAAGACCTTGAGTTACTTATTTAAGAATTAATTTCCCCCGCCTCTCTTCTCATTATCTTAGATTATCTTCAGGTTGAAGACTGGAGTCTGTATGCATTTCCTTTGCTGACGGTACAAAGAGAGGAACCGGAGCTAGGGCTCTGAGTAGTTGTGGTTGATGGGCTTGGTGTTTGCTTTTCCTTCTGAAATTGTTTTTAAAACTTTGCAAGGGTGTTCAGTAGACCTATTTGTTGTGTTTGTATGGGTATTTCCCACAGACTTCCTGTAATCCTTTCCAATTCAGGATGGCAATGACATGCATGGAACTTTCTCCAGACAGAGATAATCAGGCCTCAGAAGTTCAATTTCCTTCACTACCTGCCTCTCCCTCTCCGGGAGCTTTCCCCAGCCCTTTCCCAGGTACGTGATGATGAAATGATAGGTAAGCTTGTGGGTTTTGGTTAGATGAGGTTCTTCTTCCATGGTGGAGAAGGATCTTATTTATAATAGTCATTCTCCCTCTCCTCCTTTCTTTTTGCCAGGTCTTTTATTCCTACCGGGAATAATTAGCTCTGGGCAATTAGGATTCATAGTTAGCTCCCTCTAGCCAGCTTCCCATTCTGGAAAAAGCTGATGGCAAGCCACAGCGATTTTCTGACTCTGGGAAGTTGCTGAGTTGACCTAGCACGGCTTTTGCACTAAGCGAATTATCTGCATATTTTCTCCAAGCTTTTCTATACACCCTGCCTTTCAGCTGGTCTCCAAACTGGGGAATCGTTAGTGAGATTTTTAAATTGTGCCCACTTATCTTCACCTCCACCATGTATTCTTTCTTTGAGAAGAAATATGGGCAAAGAGTAGTAACCACTGTAAACACATCGGTCATTTTTTTTTTTTTCCTGGAAAACCATTTTTCAAAGACTATAGAATGGAGCTATTTTCTTTCTTTTGTTGATTGCTGGTTCAGAGTAATTATTATTTTACTTTTTTTTAATTTTGAAGGAGAATCTATGATTTAGCCTTACTTGATCATATAGAAGCATCATTGCGTTACGTCAACTTTCAAAATCGTGCTTTTTTGGAGTTCAGTATAAATGTCTGACAATATCCAGTCATCTAAATTCCAGAAGGGATGTGGTAGTCAGGCTTCTGAGAATGAGTCTCGATAGCCCTTACTTTTTATAATTCTCTCCTCTGTGACACAATGGGACATCTCTCCCATGACTATATATGTTACCTGGAAAAGGGATTTTACAGATATAATTAAGGTTATAGATCAATTGACCCAGTTTCCTTAAGATAGGGAGGTTAGACCTGGGTGGGCCAGGTCTAATGAGGTAAGCCCTTAAAAATAGATTTTTTCTGTGGCTGGTGGCTAAATAGGAAGCCAAAGAGATTTCAGTCATGAAAAGGACTTGATGGACCATTACTGGTTGGAAGATGGAGGGGGGCTCTGTGAGAAGGAATGCTAATGGCATCACAGAGCCAAAAGTGTCCCCTGGCTCACAACCAGTGAGGAAAAAAGGACTTCAGACCTATGGGCCCAAGGAATTGGGTTCTGTCAACAATCTGAGTGAGCCTGGTAATGGACTCTTCCCCCAGAGCCTCCACATAAGAACCTAATCTGGCCGCAATTTTGATTTCAACCTTGTGAGAACCGGAGCAGGGAACCCCACGTGAGCCTACCCAGACTTCTGACCTACAGAACTTGAACTAGTAAACAGGTTGTGTTTTAAGCCACTAAACTTGGGTACTTTTCTGTACAACAACAGAAAACAAATACCCATTCAAGACAGTCTGCAAGGACCCTTGCAAGGCACACAACTATTCCTGGAGAAATATTTTACTGTCCGAAAGATGCTACGCACCAGCTCCCTATGCCATGTGACCACATTCACTTCCAGTGTTTTGTAATTTCCACTCTCCCTTAGTGATTCTGTTAAAAACTTTTCCCCCACACCAGTCTTTACCCTGATCCACCCACCTTAATTTCCATCAACCCTCTGTTTAGATTTCTAGCTCACTGGGAATTGGCCTCATCCTTTTTCCTCCCTTTTTGGGCCCTATACGTTCCTATTTCTTGCTTGTTATTTTTTTCCCCTCTGCCCCATAGCTCTGTTGAAAGGGGAGTATTGGTTTCTTTTGTCACTTTTCCATAAATTTCATTTCTCTTATAAATAATTAATCTTATACTCTGATAATATATACAATACAACTGTGGGTATTTAAGGAAAATTGCAGTGAAGCCCAGCAGGTATTACTTTTACAAACAAAGCAGAACTTTTTATGAGTTTAAAATAAACATTTCTAGCAATAGATATATAGAGCTAATTTTACTCAATAAGAAAATATTTCAATCCTTCAAATTGTTCAAATAGGCAGTTAGGATTCTCCATGAGACATTGTCTTCATCATTCCCTATGCCTACATTATTCAGTTCCGTAACTTTTTTTTTAAACTAGGCAAACATCATACTCTGGGAAAATGTTTCTGAGTGGGAAAAGAAATTGCAATGAAAACAAAACAAAGGAAATAGTAAATTACCACATCTCTGGCCCCTTTCTTTCTTTCCTCCAATACAATTTACAACATTGTTTAAATAGGGAGTACAAATAAATGTATAAAGATCACAGACACATATGGGAAAGGAATAAAGCAAGTACAAGGAGGAAATATTTTTATTTGCTACCAAAAAATTGTCTTACCAAGTCTGGAGAATTAGTTCTTAAAGGAAAAAATAACAGATCTAATCGACAAACAGGCATATGGGAAAAAGTGAGGTTTCTGAGAGCTGACTCATTTTTGAAATCCGTTTGTGTAAACAAAAGTTATTCCATGGGTTTTTTGTTCTTTAAAATTAATTCTGTATTATTCTTAAAAAGGTTAAGTGTGGAAACATCGGTCATTTAAAGAAGCGCAATTATGTTTTACAAAAATAATATCCGTGTATTTTATTTTCCTTGACTGCAATACTGTTGGAGTCATAGGATATTATAGCTGATGTGAGGCACTATAAGGAAATATTTTATAGAAACGCATACTAACATTCTGATTTCTCTCCAATATGTCCTGCACTATGCCAATACCAATCTGCAATAAAAATTCACAAGGACAGACTGTGTTGACAGAATGGTACTTGGGAAGGAAATTTAGACATATGAAGCACAATTTGTTTGGAACAAAAAAAAATGTTGCAAAATAATTTTAGTTGGTATCAAAAATGAGACAAATTGGCAAACTTATATGAAAGATTTCTATCTTAGAACTGTTGATAATTAAAGCTGGGAACCTTAAAAGTCATTAAGGTGCCGCCTCTTATATGCAGGGCAATCCAAATTACATGCAGCAGATCTCCTACAAGGAGAGTTCTCGAATCTAAAGTACGCGATCATTTCACACATTACTTCTTAGTATCCTTTAAAGGTCTTTTTCAAACTATAGGCCATCTTTCCTAGCCAAGGTACACTGGAGAGGAAAACTATGTGGAAAACTATACCTGGATCAAAAGGGGATATAAGCCATATAGAAATCTACAGAAAAATCAGTTATGTGTTAACTCCTTCATTTATTCAGCACTCCATCAGGCACTTAGATTACATGGATAATTCTGTTGCCATGAAGTGATGAATCAATCTAGTATAACTTAAATGTGTGTGTTTCATTCTCCTCTTAGATTAAAAAAAACCATAAGAGCAAAGGTTAACTGATTCAAGTTTGTCTGGACACAAAGCTCAAGAGGAATGTGTGTTATTCTGTGTTACATTTGTATATCTTCAATCATTTGTTTATAAATTGATATGCACCATCACTTATGAACTTCTAAAGGGGAGAGAACATAGTTATTTAATTCTCTTAGTATAGTGTTATGATGAAATGAAAGCCCATTAAGTGAATTTATGTTTTTATGCAACTGTCTTTGGTTGGTTTGGTTTTAGAGGCAAAAAGAAATGTCAGCTGTTGAAACTTTGCCATTCTTTGTCTTTGGATAACAGTCATCATTTTACATAGACATTAGCCTAACTAATTTTACTGGGGATTTTCACATTTCCTCAACAAATGTTCAGTGATATTTCGAGCATCCTACTAGTGTCTCCTCTATAGCCATGTCTGACGGCTGTAGACACAGGATTGTCCTCAATTAAGGTCTAATTTATTTCTCCTAATATATTGCTCTTTTTACTAGAAGTACATAAAGATAAACAGAATATACTGCCTGTCCTTGAGGACTGCATAGCCCATTGAGGACGATAGACAAGTTAATGTAATATTAAACAAACGGAACATTTGCCATGGGACCTTTAATCTTAGTGCATAATGGCTAAAATTTGAGCCATACATGTATTGGATAAAAGAGCTAATTTTTTATATAATTTAATTTAAAATTCTGTCTTGTTGTTCTTACATCTATGCACCCTTCCTTGATAAATTGAGAGTTACCTTTACCTCTTTTAGAGTTGCTCTTCAATTTTAACATGTAGCAAAATTCTTCAACAAAAATACTGTATTTCTTGGGAAGATGATGGCATTTAATGATGAACTCCTGGCATGTACTCAATTGTTCGAAATGTGAAAGCTTCGAAATGTGAAAGCATTTTTTAACTTAAAAAAATAAGTCAAAAGACTATATAGCAGAGCAAAGTTCATATAAAACAATAGGTTATCTAGATGGTGTTTTATCATCTATCATATTACTTTGATATTTAAGGACTTATTGGTGAGATTTAGTGCCACTCACTGGTTGATTCAAAGAAATCTCTCCTGTCTGTCTCTTTCTCTTTAAAGATCAGTCTTATCTTACACAATACACAAAAATAAACTCAAAATGGATTAAAGACTTAAATGTAAAACATGAAACCATGAAACACCCAGAAGAAAACTTTGGCAGTAAACTCCTTGACATTGGTCTTGGCAATGATTTTTGGATTTGACAACAAAAGCAAAGATAATAAAAGCCAAAATCATCAAGGGGAACTACACTAAACTAAAAAGTTTCTGTATAGCAAAGGAAACCATCAACAAAATGAAAAAGTGATATAAGGAAAAGGCAAATTATCGAGGAGAAAATATTTACAAACAACACATCCAATAAGGGACAAATAACCAAAATATACAAGGAACTCATATAACTCAATAATAAAAAATAAAAAACAAATTGGGGCACCCGGGTGGCTCAGTCAGTTGAGTGTCTGACTCTTGATTTTGGATCAGGTCATGATCCCAGGGTCATGGGATCGAGCCCAGAGTCGGGGATTCATTTTACATTATACTTCTCTTTGAAAAGCACTAGTTGCATTAACGGAAATGATCTTTTTCACATTATTATCTTTGTGATCTAGTTAAGGATTGATGGTATTCACTCATGCAGCAGAGGTGAAATATGAGTCTCACCGACTC